ATGGCTATAGATGCAGCCCAGTGGTTGCTCCCTACATGACTTGAACATTTAATTGAATCGCAATCAAAGAAATCTAACGAACTGAAATCGAAAAAAAGACTTGCTTGAGAAAATGACGTCCCCGCCATCATTGTCGATCTTGAGGAGACCTACTGTGATTGCTCTAGGTTGAAGAGGCTACAGAATTTCTTTAGTCGGTCTATGGGTGGATGGCTTCTTAGAGGAAGAGCTTCAGGGAGTATGAAGGGCTCCTCCGATCAGCGTGATGTTGCAGTGGTCCACGACCCGTCGGAGACCTCGTTGAGCTCGAACCGTGCACCATGTTTCCGGGAAAAATCTTCTGATGTCGTCGGTGTAGAAGGCTATCATGAAGTTTTTTGATAGAGTGGGATGTGCTCTTCAATTTTCAGTTGGGAAGCGCTCGGTTTGAGTTCAGCAAAGTGGGATCAATTCCCTTGAACTTGGAGGGAGAAGGTCCTTTTTGTCATTCCCTCCTGTATATGTACACATTTGTTTCTTGAATCGAGATTCTTTCTTCAATTTTATGTTGATGCAAAGCAGAGCTTTTCTGGGCGAGCCTGTCATTCGGTGGTAAGCTTGGTTCGAGGGCTACCCTTTACTTGGCTCTCTGCTAGCTACCAATATTTTGGCTAATACATGCCACATGCCATCCTTGTCGTTTTTTGTAGCGGCTTTCTCTAGTCTGCTACCGAGTTAATTGTTACAACCGCAACATCCTAGAGTAGAGTTGGTAAGACTCGAGGTAGAGATTTTTGAAGACTCTAAAATGAAATATCTGTTGAGTAATTGGTTGGAATTTTAACCTTGCACGAAGTATGTCTGAGTGGAGGAGCCAATCTAGAGGAAATCGCGATCCGCCTTTTAGCCAGATAATAGCAGAAAAAATTCTGCAACAAGGCTGTCCAATGTCACAGGTGTTCGGAGAAAAAAGATCAGTAGTGCTACGATTTTATGACATGTGTGGCCATTAGTATCATATGTAGCTGCTGGCTATGGTGGGCGCTGTGATGAAGTATTAGCTTTTCCAAGAAGTAATGGAGCACTTTTTTGCCTTCCACCCCGGCACATTTCACTCCAGCCATCCATAAACCGCCCACAGCCACAATACCAGCGCTATCATGTGTATCAACGATGTTTTGTCTCCCTGCCACCATCAGGATGTGACTCTCAGAACAGCGGGTTGCATCCCAGAACTCTCCAACTCTTCCCGATTTCCA